TATTTTAAAAAATTTTATATTTTTAAAATTTTTTTAACTTTAAAAAAATTTCAAATAATAAAAATATAAAAGTTTTAAATTTAAACTTTTTATAAACTCTCATTTCATTCATTTTTTTTATTTTTAAAAATAATTTTTAAATTTTTTTTCAATAAAAATTTAAACTTACCACTTATAACAATATTTAAAAAACAAAAACTCTCACAAGTTAAATCAAACAAGCGTTTGTATAACTTCCCTCCTTCTTTCTACTACAGTAGTTTCTATTTGAGTAATTACACTTCAACATTCTTGTTTGTTCTGTTTGGCCACCAATCCAACTAAGCAAAGGAGCCCACCGGACCGACGATTCTCGTGAAAATTTTGATTGTGTCTCGTTAAAAACGAGGCAGATTGAGAAAAGCAGGGAAGAGCCGAAGAGGCTTTGCCGCACAATTTTGACCCTCGGATTAGGGTAGTTTGTTCCTAAACAGTAATTGCACTCCCCACTTGTTGTCTAATTTCATGACATTGATGTCTCATAGGCTTGCTTATGTCTTGTTGCTAAAGTGAACTCTTGGATAGAAAATGATTGTAGTAGCCTCTTTTTGATGTATATGATCTTAAGTTGGTTCTATGACGTTGGTGGTAGTTAACTCATCATGTTATTTGATGATATCAATTATGAATCAATAAAATTTGAAGGATTGGATTTATATATAAATAAGGATTATTTTATAGGTTAAATATAAATTTAAATCTTGAAATTAATGTCAATGAACTAAATAAATCAGTGAATATCTCTTTTATTGAAAATAATAAGTTATGAGTTTAAGTAGCATGATATGTGAGTGAAGAGAAAAAAAAGAATAAGAGATAGTTACTTCTCATTGTGCAATTAAGAAGGAAAGATAATTACTTCTTATTGTGTAACTAAAATAAAAAAATAAAAATTAATTATTTAAATGCATTATATTAAAGTAAGGGGTGCATCCTTAAAATCTAATTTTAAAAAAAATTAATTTCAATATATATGAAAATTAAACCAAGAACACTGTGACCTAAATCAATATTTTGCAAATGTAGGTTCAACCAATATGGTTTAAAATAAACCATTCACTCGGAATCAAGATAGTAATTCAATTCAAGAGAAATAATCCCTTTGAAGCCTTCTCAAATTCTGCTAAGAGCAAACCCCCTCACCGTTGAGTAGAACAAGGAAGGAGACATGAAAACACCTAGCATGTCAACTTCCAAGAATGGACGTCGTAAACTATTGGGACATTCTGCAAGGATGATGAGACTTGGGTTAGCAGTAAAAGGCGGAGAGTGGGGCATTCCATCAACACAGAAATTACCTTCCCTAAACACACACACAATCTCAATGGACTAGTCCCTAGCTAAAAAGGATTTGAAATAGATCAGCAATAGAGTAGTAGTTCTCATCTCGCTTGTTGCTTATTCCTTTTTTCAAGAATATATATATATATATATATACACGAGGTTAGTGTTTGTTATCGTCTTTCTAAAAAATTAAAAGAAAAAAAAAGATCAAAAACGTTTTAATTTATGCTTTAAGAATAAAATATTTTAATCTTTTTCAATAAATATTTATTAAAATGATTTAACTTTAAACTAATATACTTTTTAATTTTTAAAGAGTAAAACAGATAAGCATTATTTTATATATATATATATATATATAAACCGAGCTCATTTTAGCCCAACAAAATGAATAAAGGGCACTGCCGCACTGTGGTGTATACAGGCCAATGCATCAGAGTTTCGGTGAAGCCCATTGTATCAGTTTGAGAAAAAGTCTGTCTTCATTATTTTTCTGGCTCATCTTTTTGGGCCACTTAACGTGTTGTTAAAGTGGAACTAGAACGCAAGTTTTTATACTTCTTTAATGGCTGCTACCACCTCCCTCTCCGGTCAATACTCGGCGGTGGTTTTTCAATCCAGAAACATATTGAAACCCAATTCATATTTTCAATCTCTGAAACTGCAGAGCGCATAAAGTCCATGGCTTGGGATCAATCTCTGTCTTCGATACTCATATCCTAAAACCGACTTCCAAAATGGCCTCGCAGTGACACCCACCGTCGTGTTTAGCTTCTCCACTTCGTAAATTTCCTTGTATCACTCTTTATTTTGTTCTTATTGTTGTAATTTCAATGCACTGAAATTTAATTCTAGTTGTTTTGTGGTTTCAGGAACCTAGAGAGGATTGCTTCTACTAAGAAACCTCCCAAGTGAGTTTACTCTGATTTTTTTTTTTTTTTTTTTTTCTGAATTTAGCTTTTGGGTTGGTTTTGACTGTACTGGAATTGAGACGATTTAAGTATAGATGATCAAGGAATGCCATAAAGTCATTTACTATGACTGAACTGGAAGCAAGGAAGCTCAGGTGCCAAACTACTGGAACCGAGTCCTCATAGGCATTCTAAATTTTAATTGAGGGTAATTACATCTCTAACACCCACCTGGACCTCTTTCAGTTGTGTGTCTTAATCACTCTTAACATCTTTCTCATTCAACCAACCATTTGTGATTTTTCTGCTCAATGCTGTCTTTAACACGGTACACAGTTATTGTAGCTGCTACTGTTGCAAGCCTAATTTCTACGGTACTCATTAGTACGCCCAAACCAAGTTGTAAAATGTAGTAAATGTACTGGAAGTGAACACGACTTGCAAAGCTTTGTTCAACGGCAATGCGATATTGAGAATGAGAACGAGAATTTGGGCAACTAAAGTTAGCTATTATGCGTCAACTAACACTGAATTGGTTACTGGCATAGTTATTTTTGTCAAGCAAGCAACAAATTTTGGGACCATTTTTCGAAACCTTTTTATTTTACAGCTTGAAGCAAGATAAGTGACTGAAATTAAATGGACAAGGTTCTATCAGAATAATGCCTCTATGACTCTTATTAAGAGTCCTCTGATACTAAAATCATAGTGTTTCTTGTTTGATCCTTTTGATATTACAATGTGGTGGTTGTAATAGGAATGAAATAAACGGTACGAAGAATTCTTATGATTGGTATCACAAGTTTGAAAATCTCTGTATTCGATCAGCATGTGTGGCTTTACAGAGTGTTGGAGAAACTAGAGGTATATTTGTGACATTTTGTAAGAAAAGAAATGCAGAAACTTATTTGATCTTAGATGTGAACCATGCACCATATTCCAAGGTTACATGGTTCGTGTGATCAAAATGAAAAAAATTGCTTTATTAATGTTGCTGGTTGAGAATTCACTTTTATCCTTGTTACGTTACAAGCCCAGTTTTTTTGGAAGTTACATTATTTATCACTTTTTTGAAAAGTTATGCACCTTGTTGACTCTCATATAGTGTGCAGGAACTAGTCTGGCAGCAAAATTTTTGCTTGCAAATGGAATTACACTTTTCAAGGTACACGAAGAATGTGTGAAGTAATTGGGACAGGTTGACAGATCCTTGTTCAGTCCTATGTATCCTCCCTTGACTGAAGATGCCCAAAGGGTCCTTGATTGGGCTGTTGATCAGAAACTAAAATTTGGTAAGTCTCCTGTTAATTTGTTAATTTGTTAATTTGTTGCTTTCTTATTGACTTATGCATTCATAATTGTTAACATTTGTGGTTTACTGAAAATTAATATGAAAATTGCAGGTGATGATGGGGATATTACAACAATTGATCTCCTCCTTGGTATTTGGTCTGAGGTGGAATCTCCTGGTCATAAAATTTTGGCTGCTTTTGGCTTCAGTAATGACAAAGCCAAGGAGCTGACATCTTTGAGTTCTGAACCTGGTTTTGTAGATGGGTAATACTAGCCTTTAGTACTTAATATGTAATTCTTTTAACCAGAGAAATGAACAATCTCTGCAGCCTCTGTTAAATCATGCCTGCATGATGAAGTTTCTGAAGGATTCAAACAAATATGGCGATTCCTTGTTGAACTTTTTGTGTGATTTCTTCCTATGGGTTTGTTTATGACTGCATTCATTTTTCTTGAGTGCCTCAAAGGGAAGATGCTGAGATGTGACAGTTGTTTAGAGCATCTCACCTTCTGATCATAGAGATGACTAGTGTTAACAAAGAAGTTTCATTCATATGTAATTCTCATTTATAGACATGCTTTCAAGGGGAACTATGAGGCTGCTAATTATCTATAATTCATGAGGATGAAATATTCATCTTCATTACACTGAAAGGAAAGGACTATAGTAGACTGGAGATAAAAAATTAGGGATGTTAAGGAACAGGTCAAGATGGCAGTTAGCCGGGAGAACAAAAAAATGGAACAGGGCTTTCTAGGACTTTTTCTGCCATTGCTTGGTTGATGTCTGTCAGATTTGTTGATTTCTATTTATGATGGCAGTTTAGCTTTACTCTTGTGAAACCTCCCTACAATCTCAGATTCTTCTCATACTTTGATGTTATGGACTGTCTCTAACCATTTTTTATTGGTTCTTTCTTTATCAGCTATTCAGCTTCTGGTCTGCTAGATGCAAGTGTTTGTGCTTTGCGTGCTTCTTCAACCCAATTTATCCTCGCTACAAATATCAACAGCAACACCAAGCAGGCAATCATTCCAGCCAGAAACCCTAGCAACAAGCCACTGAGCCCAAGACCAACCCTGAAGGCTAAAATCACACCCAAGGGCAAAGCCAAGAGATAGAATCCACCAAGATTGGCATACATAGCCAACCAAGGCCTGGCTGTTCCACGAACGATTCCTCCAGAGACAGCCAAAGGGAAATTTACAAGTTCTACTACAGCCATTAGTAGCATGATCTTCTTCACACCCTTTATAATTCCCTTGTCGTGGCTGAACAAAGACCCCCAGATTCCTCTTGTGCCAACCATAACCAAAGCTCCAATGCAACCAGAAACTACAGTCACAGCCAGTGACACATATGCAGACTGATAAGCTGAGACAGGTTGGTTTGCCCCTAGCTCATTGGACACCCGTGTGGACACACATGTGGATAGAGACAACATCACAGAGTAGAGCAGGTAGTCAAAGTTCAACACAATGGCCAAGACTCCTACTGCCTGCTTTGCGTTGGCCAGCCTTCCTGTTAACAAGACCAAGATCTCAATGCACCACCATTCAAGACAGGTGGTGAGACAGCATGGGCCGCTGAGCTTGAGTAGCCTGAGCCAGTCTTGAGCACCCTGGTCCAGCCACCCTCCCTGCTCCCACCTTCCCTCTTTGTTATTTTCTATCACAAACACAGACAAGGCCAGCAGTATTACAACTACAAAATCAGTTATCCAAATTGCCATTGAGACTCCCTCAAGACCCTTTATATTTACAAGAGCAATGTTGATTGGTATGTGCAAAGTGAGGGCTAGAGCTGAGCTGAACATTATGGGCACTGTTATGCTTTGGGAACTCAAGTAGGCTTTGAGAGGACATAACAATGAAGTGGCCACCAAATCAGGGAGGAGATGGCAAAGATAGATCTTTGCTACTTTAGAAATGTCTTCGTTTTGGCCAAAATGGATCAGAATTTTGTCGACGTTAAGCCACAAGAAAGAAATAGGCAAGGTGGCTAACAGCAACAAGAAAACTGCCATGAAAAGGGTCTTGTGAAGGAGCCTAAAGTTTTTAGCCCCATAAGCTTGACCACATATGGGTTCCATGGAGCCACAGAGCCCACTCAAGACAGAGAAGCCAGTGACATTAGCAAAGGTGAATCCCAGTGTGCCTCCAGCTAACTGCAACTCTCCAAGGCGCCCTAGGAACGCAGTTGTTACAGCAATCTTGACAAACCATGTTAAGTTCATTGCCACCAGAGGAAGTGCAATACCTCTCTGCTTCTTTAACTCTGAAAGCATGACTTCCATGAGGTTGGATGGCAATTCCTGAGTGGGGTTTGAAGGGGAAGGTAGCTGAGGGTTCTCTTCTGATGTTGCAGACATGATTGGGAAGCAAAGTGGTGAGATAAGCTTTGTTCCCAAAAATATATTTGGCTTTGAAGAAAGATGGGAAATTCAGGCAAGTGTTTTGAGTGCATGCGTTTCGTGAGTGTGTTAGTTTCTATTTCTAAAGGGAGTAACCCAATTAATAGAGAGTTGGTGGGGAATTTATGGTGCGTGATAAGAATGCAAAGGCTAAAATATGGCTGTCAATTGCCTGCCCGTATCTTATTGCCTCATTGGTATGTATCAGCTTGGAATTGGTGGAGAAGGAGAGGATTCTGATTTGGAATTTGTTCTTTTAATTAAGAAAATGCCACATATAAAACTGTTACCTAACCAAATGAATAGATTTAGATTCAAAGGTGGAGAGTTGAGAAATTTTGCAGACATTACCAAAATAGTTCATTGGTCAGGACTCAGGAGTTGCAGAGTAAGATATTCAGCCAGGAGATGCAATTATGCTATGTCCTTGCGGCATATCCTTTCAAGCACTTAAAGCGGGCCACTTTGCCTAATTGAGCTTTATCTTTCATTTTCTAGAAAGGCATTTACAGTTTAATGTGAATTTGTAAATTCATATATCTAGTAAGTACTTTCACTGTTATTTTCAATTGCGATATATATATATATATATACACACATAATTACAAGGAAAGAGGGACTAGTGTATATCTCTCTCAACATATTGGAGTTATTTCATATTATTGAGAGCACTTAACTTGTTTCCCACTTGTTCTCCATTTATAAAGCATGGATAGTCTCTGCCTTTATTGTTGTATTGTGCTTTGTCCAAGTTGTGTTACTTTTTTTTCATCTCAATGATTGAGGTTATGATCATCTCCATGGTTGATTGCACTTCCGTCTACAATTCTTTTCGCACGTGTCCATAGGGATAGGGAAATACTAAAGAGAGAAATGGCGATATTGAAGTTATCCAATGAGTCATGACACCAAATTGCATAACCTGTGCAAGCAATGAGACGTATTGGCCGTGTTTCATAAACCTTTCCTATAGTTTATTTTCATTTTTATACACTCCAAAATTGACATTATTTTGGCCTATTTTTGCCTCCAAACGGTTAGAAATTCCAACAAAATTTCTTTTTACGTGATAAAAAGAATAAAGAGAAGAAAAATATAAAAATATATGAAAAAAGAAACTCTTTTTTTTTTTTTTAATTTCATTGAATATATAAGGTCGTTATTCATAAATATGTATAAGAAAATATTTTATGGTACAAAATCAATTAACTTAATTATATTAATCAATTATAATGTGAACCTAATCAACATAATTATAATATGAATATTCTATAACATCCTCCCTCAAACTCAAGGTGGTGATGAGAATAGCAACTTAACTTTGGAAAGAAGAGTGCGGAAACATCCAGGAAAGTAAGTTTTTAGTGAAAAGATTTGCATACTGAATATGTAAATTGGTGTAGTCGACGTTGCTGGAAGAGAATAAGTCAATATTAGATCTGGACAACAGCAATGTCAAAAGTTCAATTATGAGAAATCAAGAGCAAAATCAGCGGCAGAAAATCAAGAGCAAAATTAGCGACAATTGCATGTGAGAAGGTTGGAGCAACACTAGCTGTGGGAGTAACACGTATTGCCGACACAACAAAGGAACATGGTCAAGAAAACTCAATTGCAAATAAGTCCAAAAAAACAAAAGCAAAGATGAGGATGATCAGCACCACCTACAAGCAAAGTAGCAACTCACAAAAGAGATAAACAACAATAGTATCTCAAGACTTTAATATCATGATAAAAAACAATAAAGAGAAGAAAAATATAAAGATATATATTATATTATACAATTACAATATTATATAACATTATAATTAGTTATAATATTTTTGTAAATAATATATTATATTATACAATTACAATATTATATAACATTATAATTAGTTATAATATTTTTGTAAATAATATATTATATAATAAAATATAATCTTTCTCCTCCCAAATCCCTCTTTCCTTCAAAACTTAATGTTTTTCAATAAAAAGCGTATATTATAAATTTGTACCACCTTTGCCTTTTTAGTTGGCCCATTTAGTAAGTGAATTAGTTTGGATTAATTTTCAAAGAACAACAATCCTTTATTTTATCTAATTAGTCGAATAAATATGTTTAGTTAAGTTTACAAACAATAATTATTAGCAATTGAGTATTCAGTAATCAACCACTAGATATATTATTTTAACTGTATATTCAAATAAAGACTATATATATATACTGATCCAAAATTTTATTAAACAATGTGGCAAAAAAGTATTTAGTTGAGTTTATAAACAATGACTCAAGAGAATTTAGTGACAAGTGACCTTATGTTGATTTTTTTTTCTTTTTCCTTTTTTAACAACAACTTTATGTTTATATGCTTTCCTCCTTTACCAAATGATAAATGCAGTTGTCATTTTCCCATAACAAAAATAATTAGTTGATCTGTTGGTATTGTTTTATTTGAAATCTTAACAATCATTTGGATTAGAATCTTCCCCCCCGCCCCCCCAAAATTATCAAGAAAAATAAATGAGGTTTAACCTTTATAACTTCATAATTAGATTTTTATTTAATTTTGTTTTTAATGTCGAGTAATGAGACGCTAAATAATTGAAAAATTACTCTCATCTTTTTTTTCCCCCTTAATTACCTTCTCGTTTGTATTAAAATTCAAGCTTAAAACTGTGAATTTAGATTTTCTTACTCTTATTCACTTTATTGAGACTTTTTTATACATGTAATTATGTGATAAAAGACAATTTTTTCTTATTTACTTTATTTCCTTAGATATTATGTTGACTTAATTTGTAATTTTAAAATTTTTTTATTCTCCTTACTTGTTATAGCAACTTACCATTAATGATATTGGAGGACAAACATTGAAAAGGAGAGGGCAAAGAAAAAGGGAATATTAATTCAACACATAAATCTTCACCGAGGATGGGGTACTATTTTATGGTACAAGTTAAGTACAGGCAAAGCAAGGGACCATCCGGACATCTAATTTCGGAACGCATTTCTTGTATCTAATAACTCCGCTATCAAATTCCTTTCTGGAGAGTAGTTCTACATACGAAACATGTTTTTAATACATGATAAAGATATTTCCCCAAAATGCATGGTTTTACTTAAATCACAAGCCAAAAAAAAAAAAAAAAAAACCCTTTCAAGTCTCGATGGGTTCAATTTTTCAATTATGAAATTTTTTTTTTGTTAAACCCTTAACATGATCCTTTTTATACAGATTCCTAAATTGATTTCTTAACTAAAAAAATTTTTAATTTGATTTTAAAAATTTTTAAATTTAACTCAAAATTAATTTTTCTATTCAAAAGTAACTGATCATATGTAGTGTTATAGGTAATTTTTGTTCAACTATAGGTCAGAACTTTGGTATGTGTTCCAACTCCTATACAGCGGTGGAGCTTTTAAGGGGGAAAAATGCAACATTAAGAAAGAAATGGGTTAAAATTATATAAAATAAATTAAAATTTTAAAGATAAAAAAAATAAAATTAATGAACCATATTAACATTGTTTTAAAAGTTTAGGGACCTTGGCCGAGGGAAAAAGAAAAGGGGTCTGGGCCCAAGAGTTCAAGACTCGTACCTCCACTGATGCTTCTATATACATCTGATTTCACCGTTCAATCCCAATGAGATGGCTGATGTTTGCCGCAACAGGCAAAATAAGCAGTGACTGTGGGGAACTGGGGGAGGGCCAAGAAAACGTAAACAGGAAGTGACAGTGAAGTGGGTTTTTTTTTTTAAATTTTCATGATCTTGGCTTGCCTTGCAAGATTTGTTGCTAACCCACCCCATTTTATAAACAATTTAGAAATTGATCGAGTTTGACTTCATGACTCACTAATGACCCCCTTTTTTTTTTAATGCAGTTTGCATTTGGGACATAATTGATTTGAGTGTATTTTTCTTTTAAAAAAATTCAAAAAAAAAAAAGAAAAAAAAGAAAAGAAGGATAAATGAGGTTTCAAGTACTCGTGCACTTGCAATCATGTATTCTTGTTTTTTTCCTTTTTTTTTTTTAAGTGAATTATAACATTCCGTTGGATGTATATATCATGGACTATTAATTTAAAGGCCTAAATCACAAAAGTGGCAAAATGATTCTATCATTGTTTTTGGTTTTTATAAAGTTTGGATTGAAAAACACGAAGAATTTGTTTTAAAGCCATCAATTTTGATTGATTCTAGCAGGTTGTAGTAGTAATTACAAACTCCATGGGCGTGGAAGGAAGGTAGGACATCCTTAATTCAAAACCTAATAAAATTAATATCATTAAACAGCCATTATCATAACACTTGAGCACGTTTATTCTTGTGGGTGGAGTGCTTGAAAACGTTGGCACTGCGTCAGTACAACCCATTCAGCAATGCAAGTGGGCTCTGCAATAAAAACGCCACTTTATGATAAACTAAGCAAGTTTATTATTATTATTTTTTCCTTTATGAAAAGGATCGAGTTAGGCAGATTTTCATTGGGAGTTGATGGATGCCGGCAGTTATTACATCAAAGTATCATCCAGCTGGAGAAAGGACTAAACGAGTTGTGGTTGTCAAGGAAAACCAAACCCATAGAGGTAAGAAAAATGCTGCAATTCCAAGTCAATTTCGGATGGTGACTGCTCCTCTTTCCCCCTTCTGTTTTTTCTTTTGACAAAACTAAACCTCACCTTTTGGCTTCCCACAAGAAGACATCAACTCAGCATGTGCGAATTCCCTGGCAAAATTAAATCAGTTGGCCAAATTTTCAATTCAATCCAATAGAATATCACTACAATGTTTGGATAGAAAAAACTCAAAAAAGTACATATAAGAACATTGGTTTGTGTAACTTATGTTATAAAGATTATAACATAAATTAAGTATGTAATAAATATATTTTTTTATAATTAATTTTTATTAAAAATGTAAATGTTGATTTTGATTCAATCAATTAATTAAAATCAATTCATATGTAAGTGGAGTTCAAAAATATATAAAATTTTATAATTTTTTATATAAATTAATTATAAAAAAGTACATTTATTGTACTTTTAACTTATATCCTAAAAATATATGTTAGACAAACTTTAAGAATATAGTATTATTATTTTTTATTTGAAATATAAATTTTATCGATTTCTAACTAAAGTGATAAATTTTTAATTTTTTTCTATATAACGATGTAAACATTATATTTTTTTATTTAAAGATTAATTAAATAGTAATGTTGTTGTGATAAACAATTTTTTTAATAATTTAATTAATTCTTAAATAGAAAAAACACAAAATGAATAACTTTAAATAGAAAAAAAATAAAAATGTACTATTTTAC